GGGAGGGAGGGGGAGGGAGTTGCTATTTTCGCTCGTTTCTTTTGCTAGAGCCTGTTCAATTACACGTCTTACCTTAAAGAGACCTGCAGACCTTGTCATCTGTAAACAAAACTCCTCCTACTGCACAACTTTACAAGAGTTAACAGGCCTCTACTGGAAGCAGTAATCAATGTGAAGCGGCAAACTGCCCCCACCAAACCGAACTGCGCCCATTACTCACAGGAACAGAATACATGCGTGAAATTATCTAGGAGAAAACATCGATTGAGGTCTCGGTTCATTGAATGTCGTGTGCATTATAATCAATACACCGACGTTCAATGGGTCCGGGCCTTGATGTAAAGCCAAAAAAAGAGTAAATCTTTACCTGTACGGCTTGCTGGTGAGGGCACCAACAGGGCAAAGATCAATCACATTTCCAGACAATTCAGAAGCGAAAAATTTCTCGACATAGGTACCAATCTGCAAAATTCTAAGTAATGAACTTTACTTAATAAGAAATTTGGAATAATTTGACGCAATATAAAAGGGCTGTATGCTGCAGTTGTTGTAAAGATTCTGAGTCAATACAGATGGGCTTATTTGGCCAAATGGACTACCTAATCAGGCTGATCATGAATGGGGAGATGTAATAGCTTGAAGATGTAATAGCTCAGCCTCCATCTCTGCCTCTACCACAGGACTATTCAGCCTAGAAGTAAATGAGACGTTTCCAACCACCAGAAAAGTACAGGTATCCATCATTTTAGCGTTCTGAACGTCTATCAGCGTTTCCAACGATAATCGACACCTTAACTTTCTTAGTCCCTAGGTACGCTCGACCCTCCCCCAGGGACGCTCAAAATGCTGCCGCACGATATGAACGCACTCTGACAACCAATCCGCTTTATTCTGACTCCAACCTAAACTATCTTTATCCTTACTCCTTTGCTTCATAAAGTTACGCATTCAAGAAAACGATTTACCTCTCTACTTCGCTTAGCAGTTTCAATAAGAAGGGAAGGTGCAACATTTCTGGCAGCTGCTCTTTCAGGGCCCACAAAACACACAAAATAAATTACCTGCAGATCAGATCCTCTTCCGGTTGTTCCAAAATCGGGGAAGGCAGCTATCTTAATAGTCATCGTATAAAGTAAATTAGCGAGTACTTAAGCGGTTTATCACACCTCGTTTGCAAATCGTACACAACGTGTGCAGTGGATGCACCGAGTCATGACTGTTTTCACAAGTGGGCCTATGTTCTTATCCTCGACAGCTCTGAAACACGAGAATATAGCGCTTGGCTTCGAAATCCAGCTTCACAGCCTACCTCTTTCCATCGTAAGTGGCTACGAGGCGACCACGATCGCTTCCAAAAGCCATAGATTGATCTTGCAGGTCACACTCACCTCCCTAAAAAGCCAGAGACAATTCACGGTGGGAATCACCTGATCGTAAGGCTGTGTTCATAGTTCGCAACTCGAGCGATTCTCGAAACGCGCGACTACGACCGCGCTCTATGCTGATACATGAACTGATGTGACTTCCAATCCGATCAATTTCTGGAAAGAACTTGTGACAGTTCCACCTAGCCACCGATTAGCGGTGAAGCGCGGTTGGCCGTAGTTAGGAAATCGCATGTTCCGCGAAGTATGTACGCGCTCTGAGAAAAGAAACTAACCTGATCACAGATGGGACAATCAAGGGGATGGTTAGTAAGCAGGAATTCCATAACTCCTTCTCGTACCTTACGTGTAAGTGCTGAGTTGGTTTTTACCCTCATTCCTTTCATTACTGGCATTGCGCACGATGCCACTGGCTAAAATAATACTCTTCAAAATGGGGATACTCAGACAAAAATAGCGTAAAATAATACCTTCATGCTCTTTTCAACCAACGAGGCACATTCGACAGATTACGCGGCAATCGACAAGACGTCATAGGTAGCAGAACCGAGGAATTAAAACTTCCGAAATGGGCACAAATCGGCTCAAAGCTCCGTCTCTCTTGAAAAGCACATCTCAGAGGGTATGGACCTAGTTAAGGACAGGCTTATCAGAGAACCTCTCCAATGTTCTAGTAACCTAGTGGAATTGCGAAAGACAAACTTGCAGAATTGTTAGTCCAGGATCCACAAGTATCTTCTTATCATCAATAAACACTTCAATCTTCTCCGGTGCAGCTGTAGTCGATTGTGCTCGTTTACACGCGGCGGTGCCCAAGCGCGCCGCACGTGCCACCGAGCCAACACGGTGCATACCCTGGAATAGGGTCAAAAATTCATTACTAAGCATTCATTTCGCGATCAGGACCGAAGGCGCTCAATCGGTAATCGTTAGACCACCTCACCCTCTAACTTGATCACATTCGCAACATTTTTTCTACAAACATTTTTATAACCCGTCCTTCGCTTCTAACTGGAATTGGATGAAGGTAAGCTCTCTAATTATAATAATGCATGTAAATTAATTATTTGATTTAATAATTTCTTAAATATAACATGCATATAAGTTTCAAAGACCAGACCAAAGAAAAGGCCTCCTAGATATCAAGCCGGTCTGCCGACAAGATATTAAAGAGGAAACAAAAACCTAAAATCTTCCACAGAAGCGACTTGCAGTGGTCCAACGATTAGCGGTGGGGCGCCGTCGGTAGCATTTCTTAGCCGAATGACCGACCGCCTTTGGAATGCGTTCACCCTTTATGTCAGCGTTTTTGACGTACTGCAGTATTTTGAGCGACTAGTAAACTATAGGTATCAATCTAGCGTTTGGAGCGATTTTTGAGCGTTTCCTGGGTAGTTTTGAACTTTTCGCGGGCAGTCTCTGAGAGGGCTGGCGTTCACTCGGAACGCTTAATCATACCTACACTTTATACCTAGAAAATTCCTAGTTGCTCAAAACGCTGCCGTATGCTCAAACGCTGACGAGAAGTATGAACACACCAACTACAATGAATGGAAGTACAACTTTGGATAGATATTATGGCAGCATAATCAAGCCGCAATAACAAAACTAAACAGAACAAGTATATAATACTTTAATGAACACCCAAATTATACATTCTGTGAGTAAAAAGCGGTTTACATCAAATATCACAGTTATTGATATACAATGTACATTCAAAAAGAACAGCAGAATAAGAAACAAACTAGAAGAAAACACATTGTTCGTGACGTTGGCGGGTTAGTTCTACACCAGCACCGAAAAAAATATGCGAAAAAATAAATAATATTCGGAATGCTCATCAGGAAAATTTGATAGATACATGAGCCCATCATTATCTTTTGCCAAGCTAAATTTACAATTAGCTTCAAGTATACCATTACGGTATAATCATATTTCTGCAGTGCACACATTAGGTCCGACAGCGAAGTTCCAAAGAAAATCAGAGGGATTTTTAAAAATAAAAGTACTAAAAACTCTTCGAGCATGTACTGACAACACCAAATCCATATAAATTTTATACCAGCCCCTTTCTCAAGAAATAAATAAATAAAGCATTGACATAATTTAGCTGCTATGCAATGCCTTTCAGCTCTTGAAATACGCAGAAACAGGTTTTAAAAATGTGGTGAACCCGACTTTCAGATAGAATTTCCCGCAGCATCAACGGCCACACGAATATTAGGGTTGTTTCCTAGGGTCAAGCATCGGGTCATCTTCTGCTCCAAAGCCAACTCTTGTCAACACAACGATTACAGTTACCAATATAAGAATTAAGAGAAACAGAACAAGCAATACACGTTTATATCCGCTGAATTGGGCCGGCGGAGGCATTTCATATTTAGGCCTGAATTCCGAAGCCTTTAAATATCAGTCATATGAACGCAGAAGAAGTCATGGATTACAGGCTTACTAGAGCGGGGTGGGCGGGAAAAGATCAGAGGTGCTACTTCTTCGCGTCACCGTTTGAGCGTTTAGGAAATTATACGGATCATCGATTAAGCGTCTTTAGGCGACGCCAGCGTTTTCAGCAACTGCCCGCGGAACGCCCAAAACGCCGAGGTGAAGTATGAACGCACAATTAGGCTGCGACGAATCTGATCGTCTGCGCTCTCGCCAGACAGAGAATGGAGGAGGAAACTAGCATCTTCAGAGAGCGCAGAAACACCAGCGTTAACTGCGCGCCGCTGCTTCCTTCACTTCAGCAGTCCAAACGCTTAAAAATCGGAATCAAAATGATGACTTACTTCCAGATCCCCCTTAACCACTCCCTGGCTGGCCTTCTTTTATATTTATTTTGTTCACTGTCTGCCATCCGCTGCAGTGGCCTTGAAAGAAAGCGGCTGCATTCGGACTCAGCACCAGGTGTTTTTTGCGGTTGCTGAAAGTAACAAGTTCGAAGAGGTTTTGTCTCGAAAGATTAAAAAAACATGATTTGTCTCGCTGCTTCTGCAAGTTCATTGTATAAAGCCGATAAGCTCTGCATAAGCTTCTTGGATGAAAGTAGAACGCGTGTCGCATCCAAAAAGGGAATGAACAGCGGCGGAGACTTCTACGACTCCGGGTAATAATCTGTTTTAGCACTGCTCAACTGAAAGTCAGACTATTCAACGGAACCTGACACACAAAACAACTGCGTACAAGGCGTGAAACGTATTGCTGCTTGTACGGAGAGTATGGAACTTCTGTCCATATCCACGCCACAGTCGTGGGTTGCGGTGTTGCGCTCTGAATTTGACAGATTAGTTAAACCATCTTTCAAACTATATGTACCAAAGAGGATATTATGATTTCTACTGTTAGCACGTCCATGTTATGACATGCATTTGTAAACTGTCCACCATTCGCAATATCAGTACCACTGTTCTGAGCAGGTTTATGCATCATAGTGGTACCAGAGAAGTGAGAATGTTGTTGTGGAAGCATAGGTGGAGGGTTCAATTCAGGAAGCTGGAAAACTGCTGTCACAAAAAAGGCAAAATGTCAAAATGAGATTATACACACCAGTGGTAGGCCCAATCCAGCTCGAGCCCAGTTAGCTTGCTGAAGTTTGGTGCGAAGTTCATCTATCATGGGAGAAGTCTGGTTTGGCGCAGGGAACAAAGCCTCACTGAACAATGAAGTCATTATAAATAGGGAAGTCATATATCAATAGGGAATGCTATCATAAGCCTGGAATCGAGAATATACGCAAAAAAAAATTCAAGGCCAACATACAGCATAACCATACCGGCAAAACGGGCAACAGTAGCCAGCAGGAGCAGTGGTGGCCGGAAAGCGTCGAGCCCATTGGTCAAGACATGACCAGTGGAGCAGATCTGCAGCTAGGACGAATAACAACAGAGTGAAGCACAAGACAGCGTTTATACTTCATGATGACGCGAGTCAACCCCACAAGAGCGCTCCAATGCCATAGATGCGAACGCAGCCGCAGACAGGAATTGATCGGCATCGGCTATGAGAGATTGAGGGGACTAGGAGGGCAGCGTGGTCTAATCACGCAGTCTGGTAACGATCGCCGGAAATGTCCTGGGAAAGTGTCAGAGTGCCAGATTGTAAGGAGGCAGCGGCTGCCTTCCTGCATCCTGTACTCTCTCGAGCACAGCACAGCTCTCGGCGCCAATCTTCTCGTCTGCGGGTTCGTCGCGCCAATAAGATTGGAGCGCTGTTGTAACAGCGCGTTGGCGCGCGTCATCTCCAAGTCTGAACGCTGCCGAAAGGCTGACAGAGGAAAAAAACAACTTACGAAGGCACTGAAGACGAATAGTTTCGGCATCTGAAAGAGGTCTTTCACACAAAGAACAGTTTGTGTCGAAGTCGCAGTCAGTCAGCCATTGGAGATAACTTTGTACAACGCACTGAAAAACAAATCTCACAAAACTGTGATTACGAGCGCGTTCATGCTTCGCGATCGGATCGCTGAAACACGCAATCGCATCGAGAAGTAGAAGTCCCTTTACAGAAAAGGGGTAGCATGATGGGGGAAGAATCAGTGGTGGCATGATCGTCTCTTCCCGAAACAGAAGCAAGGTGTTGTTTCTGTGAAATTCCAGTTTCCCCCCATTAAGAGGAGATATGCAGAAAAGCGAGACGACAAAAAGTAGGCGGACAGGACAACCGCATTTTGTCGCCGGCGTGTCGTGCTATGACAAGCGACAAGTTCTCAACATGTACTGTTTTTCAACTGAAGCACTGAAGCTTCGTATGGATTCCGGCAGGGACAAATGCGTATCATATGAAAGACTATATCAAGCTTTTTCGTCCCTTCAACACACAAATCAAAACCACCTGGCAAAGAAACTCGTCCGTGCACAGCGGTGCCGCTCGCCACGCCCACTAACGCGGCATAGTACGAGTGTCTTGATCCCACAATCTCCCTTTCGCTCATAGTGCCGTTTCCCTCAAAACGCGATTCGCCCAAAACGCCGAATCGCAGAGTATGAACGCAGCTCAAGTTGAAGCAAAGACCAGACGAACCAGAAAGCGAAATACTGCAAGTAGAAAAGAGCAGCGCTATTCTAACAAGAGATTTCGGTGCAAAGCACAGAGGCATTTTAAGGGACATTATCGCAAAGGGGCCAGAATCCTCATCCTCCCAACTAATAAGCGTCGCTTCGCACCTCCCCCTTATTGGAATAGGGCCAAGTATAAACATTTGTACGATCGCCACAGTTTACAACCCAAAACGCGATCGATAGTTCTTCTGTCGAAATACCACAGCTACGATCCTTTCTTGCCCGCGTGCTCAGATGCCACATCCTGTGGCCTAATAATCACGAAAATAAATTAAGGGATGCCTCGGAAACGGTCGGCTAGGACGGACTGCCCGGAGGAAGAACTTCTAATGTAAACTGGCATAAAAAGTGGCAGGCATCTATTCTATCGTTGGATTTAAGTGAAATGGAAAATGAACCTACATCGTGGTGGTTCTCCACTAAGCAGTGTTCACAGACGTTCACTCTGTGCTCGAAACAGAAGAGATTTGTGACCTTTTTCCTGGGACATTTGCACAATCCCATCTTATCTAAACGACTAGTGTTCAACTGTTTCTGCAAATTCCGGTCTGATCTTTGATAAACGACGACTCAAGGAGTTATTCTCTGCACGAGAGGATAGAAATTATCGGAAAAGCGAAATACTCCCGTAAAACCACAACTCGAGGAAAAGTGAAAATCGCCGAACACTCGGAAGAAATAAGCTGGCTCCTACCGTGGCCGACCAGAGTAAAGCTACGCAGCCGTAGGAATGAAATGCTGCGACGCAATTTTACACCACTTTTGCGCCACTTTGCGTACCGTACTCCTCAGCTCACGCCTAATTTTAATAATTTTCGAGTGTTTTATGATTGACTAGGAAAGGTCAGCTGGTCCTTTGCAATAAATTATACATCAATGTACTCGCATTGAGACGCTAAACTCAATCTTGCTTGCGAAGTTTGCGAGATGACTTGCGGAACATAATGTGAGGAATTGGAGAGATCGG